CTCCTGCCTGCCCAGCCCTGCCCAGCCTGGGGTACCCGGGGGACACGCAGAGCAGGGACCCCGGAGCCTGCCCTGCAACACTCCCGGGTGGCTTGGGAGAAGCTAGGGGGAGCTTGAATTATTTCGCCTTAATTAAGATATTTGTGTCATTTTCCTAGCCTCGCGAATCTCTATTTTTTCTCCCATAGCTGCGACTTAAAGCAAAGGAGGTCTGCAGCCAGCACGGGCTGGCTGTGGTGCAGAAAGCACAATCAGAGAGGAAATTGGTTAATGAGGGTCTGCACTGGCCTCGCTCGCTGAGGTCCAGCAGCACCTCATCCCCTCACAGAAATCCATTGCCCAGGCAATGTTCGCCAAGTTTGATTTTCCTCCTTCCTCAGTATGCTTGATTCTGCTAAGAAACTCAATAATTTGAACTGCGTATCAGACTATAATTTGGGAGGGAGAGGGGGTAACACTATTTACAAATTTCTGTCCAATAATGCCCTACGATGTTACATTTATTAAAAGGCAACAGTTCTCATCCTGACAATTTACAGTGCAAGTTCCAAGAAAGTTTCTTTATGCAGCGTAGCATTACTTTTACATTCTTTAAATATGAAGCTGATATTTAAATGGCAAATGATAGGTAACATCTCCAGAGCCAGCCAAATTTTGTAGCTGCTCGGCTCTCAGACTGGGATAGAATAGCTACAAATACTGCATGGGGACAGGAAACAAATTTTGCAAGCAGTGGAGTCACCATGACAAAAAATAATTTGTTTTTATTTTAGATTCAGATTTCATTACTGCACTCAAACTACTACAACTGGGCTTTGAGTTATTATACAATCCAAACTGTTTCAATCAGAAACTCTAAGACTCAGTGTGCAATGATTATTATTAATAATAATTAGCTCCTTGGTTTCTTGATAGAAAAAGGCTATCAACAAGCATTTGTTTAACCACAACAAAAGTATAATTAGCTTATCCCACTTAGTAAATCTGTATGCATGCCAACTCATACCAAACTGCTACTTTTACAAAAAATTGCAATAATACAGATCATTTTTCCAGTCCTTTTTGCACAAAATTTATTTACAATGTATACATAAATGCTCCATGATGGGACTATGGAAAAAAAAAATGCACACATGACCGATGTCTTGCCCAGAAAGAAAGTCAACATATTAAAAATAAATCTTCAGTCCATGTTTTGAGCTGCATAAAACAGGAAGTGATGTACAAGGTGGTGGTTGCTGCATGGGGACAAGGATGCTCTGATGTGACAATTAGGCTTCAAATACACTGCCTTTCCGTTTCCATGCTTCCTCCTACCAGTCTCCTTAAGACACTGCCTGCAACAGCTGATTAATCATTGTTGATGACTTCAGTTTTTCCCATCCTTCCCGATTTACATCTGTTCAGGCCAATTCAAATATGGTGAGTAAATGAATTAGACATGCAAATTCACGCCCCAGGCTAGAAAGAGAGAGAGGGAGAGAGATGGGGAGAAAGGGAGAGAAAGGGAAGAAAGACGGACAGAGGAGGAGGGGGGGGGAGAGAGAGTGCGCATGGCTGAAATCCTAGGATAGAAGAAAGATTCTTCTGCCTGACATAGTTATTTTAATGCTCTAAAAATCCTGCAAATAAGCCCTTTCTGTCATTTGCAGGATAAGTGTAAGGCTTCTTTGTTAATGTAAGGAGGCTTCTGGAGGAAGTGAAGAGCTATGGAAACAACACACATAGTGTGGAAAAATTTCACATTTTTTTTAAAAAATCTATAAGAAACAACGTAATATGGATAACAGTATAATAGCATTTTACAATATTTCACTCTTTGTTTTCTTAATGTCTTATATAGGTATTTAGCATGTCCCCAGAAGTTGACTTCAGTTGGTGTTTTCCTGCTTTTTTCAGGGTCCCTGTGAAGAACTGGAACGTCCCTTGGTCCGAAGTTGACGCCAAGAACTCCATAGTCATTGCAGAAAGACAATGTTTGAAATCTACCATGGCTGCAGACAACGTGTGTTTCCCTTAAGCTACTGAGCATGAATGTCCATCACTTGTCCGCTCACTGCTGGCTCGCCGGTATGAAGCATTGTGGGGCTTGATGCTGACATGGGCATTCCAGGGTGGGGTGGTCCTCCATGCATCATCATCGCTGGGTGGTGGGGGTGTCCAGGAATGTAGGTATGCATGGGGGGGCCATGACGCAGCTGAGCAGGATGGGGGGGCATCTGGGGCGGCGTATAGCTTGGCTGTCCCATATTCATACCCATTGGACTACCCCGAGACACATAATCCCCTGGCATACTTTGCAGCCCTGCAGAGGGAGAGAAAGAGGTGGAGGTGAGTGCTGGGGACTGCCTGTGGCATCGGGAGCTGCCCCGCTGGGCCACGGGGAGGCTCCAGCCCCAGGCGGGACGCGGAGTCTCTGCGGAGCTGGGAGTCTGCACGCGGACCCACAACAGCAACAGGAACGGCGCCCAGGCCAAAAACAACCCCAAAAACATCCCCACCCCCTTTTGGAGGTAAAACAGCTGTCTGCTTTTATGGTTAGGAATGTGTGCAGAGGAGATGTTCCTGATCTGGAAGCGTGCCAGAGGCGGTGCCAGCCTGAGGATGGCTGATGCCACACGGAGGGCTCTCAGGTGGGCTCCATTCCCCGTGGCCTTATTCCAGCCACCTGCCTTCGCCTCCCCACGTGTAAAAGCACGCTGGGAATCCAAGGCAGAGAATCTGCAGCAGGAGGAGCGATGGGTTAAATAGGTGTCAAGGTTTATCAACAGCTATTTATTTAGCTCTTGAGCCTGATCTCTTGGAATCTGTCCCAAATATTTGTGCCATTCAAAGAGATGCAATCCAGCGAGGACATACATCACTGAACAAAGGCCTCATACGAAGCCGAAATTGATAGGATTACTAAGTATGATTGTAAAATCAAACTCGTATTTTTAGACACATTAAAAATATATACATAATCAATAACAGTTATCAATTATTTCTTTACCCCCCCCACTCTGATCACCTCTGGCCGCCAAAAAAAATCAGACGCCCAACTCAGTCAAACCTTTCAGTGGGTTTGGGAGAACAATAAGGAAAAAATTGGACCTAAAACAATAAACCCTCCTGCTTTCTGTGGGCCTCTGCCTTCTGCTTGGATTGCTGTAGCTGATGGGAACTGACAGGTGTATTGTTTCGGAGAGCTATAAGCTCCATAATCATCAAGGGTGAAAGGCATACGCTATTGCTAAGTAGGTTCAATTGGCTTTGGTTCTAAGTAAGAGCGCGCTGTGAATGCGCCGAACACCTTGGAATCAGGTCTCAAGGCTCCAGCAATGAATAGCTGCTTAATCTAGCCTAAAGGAACAGTTTTGAACTAATGAAAATTGCTTATAAAATATACTGTACTCACAGCTCTTTAATCAAAAAAGATGATAATATTTTTTGTAATAACCTATTAATTTAATTGGTCACGAAGCATAAAATACATCATTTAAATTTAATTGACCCAGAAACTAAGAAACAATATTTAAATTAACTAAGCTAGAAATTTTCATGATGAGGTAATAAGGCTATTGCATTCCCAAGCTCAGAGGAATGTTTTCACAGCTAATTGTTAAAACTTAGTTTTGACTTGGGCTCAGGGAAGACTACTACGAAATACACTCGCCCTGGGTAACTTCAAACCCTATGTTAATATAGGCTGGGGGCAGAACAAAGATGCTGAAATAACTCTTTTAACTCCAGAAAGAGAGCAGGAGAAACAGAATCAGGCACTATTTAAACACGGTACCAAGTGTCTTGGTGTTTCAAACCACTTTACTATTAAAAGAAAAACGAAACAAAACCCAAAAATTTGTATAATGTATTTTTCCCTAGAAAAAGACAAGAGGGAAAAAAAAAACTGGGACAGTTTTTCTAGGCTTCCTTTGCGAGGTCTGCCACTGAAGATTGCATTAATGATCTCTATTTTTGTATACTGAATAAGTCAAATCCATTTGTCACACTGCAAGTGATGGCATACTTAATTTGGATATAGTCAATTAGCCTGGGCTAAGCTCCATAGCCTGCTGCGCACACCTCTATTTTGTATTCTCTCTTTTTCCTTTGCCACACGTAATCCCATTATGACGGACAGACAAAGAGAAATAAACTTGAAAAAAAAAAAAAAAGAAAGAAAAAAATCAAAGTTTCATCCATCGCTCTCCAAAATGCAACTAAGTCAAGCTGCTGGGTTTTGCTTGGTGTTTTTTTTTTTTTTCCCTACCCCATGAGAAGTCTCTGTTTGGCTTTTTTGGTGTCTTGCAGGTTAGCGGGAGAAATGTAACTCATGCATCAACTGCGGTTAGACAGATTTATGACACTTTGGGGACATGCTCTTTCCTCTCCCTGTGCTGCTGCAGACCGCTTACATTTTGCAAATCAGTCTGTTGCCAAGACGACGGGCTCCCCCACCTCCCTGGCTGCTCCTTGTTTTGTCATGTGCTCGGGGATGGATAATAGCATCAATGTATGGCGGCGTGGATGTACGGCAGCGTCAGCGTACGGCGCGCGCGCGCGGGGGGTTCGGGAGCTCGGAAAGCTTGAGCTGAACCAGAGGGAGAGAAAACCCAAAGGAGCCCAGGCGCAGGATGGATGGATGGAAAGGAAGGAACAAGCATGAGGCTATGGGCAGGGAGAACATAGGGAAATGCAAGAAGACAAATATCCCTCGGACAAAGTGAGAACAAAGACCTCGTTTGTACTTACTTCCCCCTGGCTTTGCCATTGGTTACCTAGGTGAAGGTTACATGTAGTGCCACTGCCCCTCCATGCCCATATTCATGCCCATTCCACTCATAGGTCCTAGAGGGAGATAAAAATCCAAGAAGATGCCAGAAAATGAGCAAAGTCAACAGATAGTGCCAAAAGCCCCTTTCCAAAACACAGCACGGCAGAGGGTCCAGGACCGCTCGAGCAAGGAGACGCCCGGTTTCCCTCGGTGGTGTGGAAGGCAGGCAGAAGACAGGTGAGGCAAGCAGGCAGCGGGGAGGGCGGCAGAGGGCGAGGGCAGAGGTGTGTTTACCTGTGGTGGCGTGACCGAGGCCACCCGTGAGTGGGTGACACTGCCCAGGGGCTTACCTGGCGCTCGGATGCCCATGTGCTGCTGGCCGTCCATCACGAAACCTCCCATCGGCTGCCCATCGGGGTTATAGGGTGTCCCTTGACTTACTGGAAAGGTGCAGAACATTTCTTTTTAGCAACAGCTAACACGGTCATCTCTTCTCATGGCATGGGACACAGCCCCCCCACCCATGGGCTATCTAAAAAGAGGGGAAAACATCTACTGTGTGAATTTAGCTGTTGGACTGGCAAGCGTGCTTGGTTTTGGCCTAATTTTCTTCTGCAACTTTGGAAGTGAAGTTAACAAACTGAAATCTTGAGACACGAGGAGCCCCGGCTCCAGCTGCTGCCGCTGCTGACGTCAATGCAAAACCTGTATAGGAGCCGGATTTTATGGCTGGAATAGTCACACTGAAATCTCAGTGTGTTAAATTACACCCTTGTGCCTTCAAAGGGCAGGACCTGAACACATCCACGCCAGATATTTACGTCTAATGACAAATAATCAAACGTACTTGAAGAGGAAGTGTGGCCCAAAGGCATCTTGGACAATTTGGAGAGTTTGGCAGGGAGACTTGGGAAAAAACCCAACTGGGAGTAATGGGCTATGATAATCCTTGATGGTAAATACCCACAGAGAGCTGCAAGCCAAGGCCCCAGATAGAACCAATGTGTGGAAACTAAGAGTCTTTTAAAAAAAATATAAATAAATACTCCCAAAGTAAACAGCAAATGCTCAGCAATCCCAAAAGAAGAGCCAAGGGACAAAAGGACCCTATACAAGTACCACTGCCTGAACTGGAGGTTTTCACTGTACGTTAAAAGCCAGCTTCAGAAGTAAGCTGGCTTGGGTTATTAAAGCACATAAAGCTCTACCTCATTGAATGTCTTTGAACTTTACTGAGTCCCACAAGTGATTCTGACCCCTTTGCCCTTTTGACAGGTAATAAAGTTTACAGCAATTCCACACCAAGCCATGCACCAGGGAGTGGTCACAGGAGCAGAAAGAGCTGGGAAGGAAAACTCCAAACAGTGACTAAAAAAATACAAGAATAATTTGGATCATGTACAGAAAGTCCGGTCACGGAACAGACCATTTCAATTTCCCTTTTTGAGTTTTCAATGTCTTTTTTTTTTCCCAAAATTATTAGAGTCATAATGAAAGAAAGCTGGTTGTATTTTAATTGTCAGTCACTCCCAGCATTCATGTCTCGTTTATTTACCAGGTACTGGACCTCCTGGTGAATGGCTAGAGGATGGTTTTCGCCTGTGTGGTTTGAATACAGTTACTAGTGGGGACTTGCCTGCTCGATTGGACTGGTCTATCATGGGCTGAACTATTCTTCTTCTAGCATTAATAAACCTGCAAGAAAAAAGAGGAAAGCAAATGGTTAGGGAAGGGATGCCTTCCACCCATCCCCAAGCCCTCTCGCCCGACTGTGGCGCTCTCCATCAGGCTGCATGGGGATGCAAATCCTGCTAAACCTCTAACCCTGATGACCTTTGGGAGCACAACCTTGGGGTTTCCAAGCTGATTTATGTTTGCCTGCTTTTTACCACAGTCGGACACTTCCATTTCATCTTTTCATGGGGGAATTAGCCGAGTTTTTAGGAAACAATGCCAGCAACACTCTTCTCAATACAGAATGGGGCACCAAAAAAACAAAAACGTGTGAAGCCGGCGAGATGCTCGTGAGGGCATCTGCTACCTCCCCCCTCATTAGTGTCATTTCTGCCTTATGTCCTTTGACTTCTTTTTCCAATTTTTTTCTTTATCAAAAACTGTCCCTACCTCTTGCAAACCTAATTCACTTTTAATGCCCACTATTAAGATAATGAACTGTGATGGCAGAACCCCATCAAATGAGGGAACGTCTGGACTTTTATCACCACTAAGTCACACTGCTGGGGACTTCAGAGCCATGCATTCCTCCTAGCCATTTCTTGGTGGGCTTTTTCCCCCCTCCCTCTCTTTATGCAAAGTCTGAGGGGGTCAAGGCGAGGTCATAGCTTTACAGTAATTGAATTTATAATCCTGTTTTCTCCAGCTAGGCCTGACCATTTACAGCAAACATCTTGTTAAACTGTAATTACTGGACTACTGAAAATTCCCCCCCGAACAATGAAAAGAAGATCTTTGGAAATAACAAAAAAAAAAGGAGGTGCAGTCATTTTTAAAAATAGCTATCTGCAGCCCACTCTTTGTGTTTTTGTAGGTCTTCATTTCAGTCCTGCAATGCTTATTTGGAAATATTCAAAATAATTTGGAGCAAAACAGAAGAAGGAGATCGATCACAAGCACCCTGGTCTCCTCACGGTGCTGAAATCAGGAGGCTGGGAACCATGGCTGGGGACCTGTCTGAATAAAGACTGTTTGAAGAATCTCTCTTGAGGTTTCACTCAGCAGAAAGTTTACTTAAAATCCATTTGGAAAAAAAATCTACATTGAGATTTAGTCACGGCAAAGCTGCATAACCAGACTTTGAGCTCTTCGTGAGAGAGAAAAAGAATAATAAAAATATGTATGTCACGATATTTACTAGTAAAGGAAGAAGTGTGAGTGTGGGTTAAATCACAGCACACTCGTAAAATGGGATAGAAGGGTGCACAAAGGAATACCTGATGCTTGTTTTCATTGCCTTTGCTTGGGGTGGCTTAGCAGGAGCTCTCCTAGCACAGAGATAAAGGCACCAGGATCTTTCCACGGGAATCAGCACTGCCCACCCATTCGCCTTCACCAGAGGAGAGAAGAATAGCAAACCACTGCCCCATGCTGCTTCTTCTGCCCTCATCAAAGACCAGCACAGTGACTTCAGGCTCCTCCTATCTCCCATTCCCCACTGACACCCATTACCCAAGCTCCTGCAAAAATTAATCAAGATGTTGAGTCTTTATCAAACCTGTCTTGAGGAAACGGGCTCAAAGGCACCAAACCCGGCTGCCAGTCTGGAAACCCTACACCTGAGCTAGATCATGTTTTGTCAGCAACAGTGTTGGATCAATTTTCTCTACACATTTCCAATAAACACCCCCTCTCGACTCCAGCAAACAGTGTTGCAAATCAGTTTATCATTATCTTGTACAAACCATGAAAATTAGAATCATGTGAGCAGAAGGTTAGACTAATTCTCCTTTCTCATTATAAGCACAGGTGTAGCACAAACACCATGTGAAATAAGCAATTAAAAAAACCTGCTTTTTTTCCCCCATTAGCTGCCTTAGCTCCATGACCAATTAGAAAATTGTTTAATATCTGTAATCTGCATTTGCAGAAAGCAATTTTCACAGTAACTCTTCGAAGTAAAACAACACCACAAAATCCTAGTGCCTCAGCCATTTCTTTTTGTGAGTCTGGCAAGGATCCTGCTGTGTTCACTCCATCCTTCTCCTGCCCCACTGCTAGGACCTGGTAGAGAGGCAGGAGAAGAGAGGTGGCTGTGAGAGGGACTGGTCACCAAAATAACTTTTACCCTAAATAAATGCTGAGCAACATTAGGCCTGTACAACCTCAACTTCGACTTTTTCTTCCTTCTCCTCCAAACTAAAAGCACTTTTAAGATGAAGGGAGGGTGCCTCAAAACAATAGACTGTCCTATATATAGTATTGTTCATATACTAATATTCTAGAATAAACTATATATCTAGAGTTTACCAATAATTACAAGATGTGCCTATGGTAAAACATAATGTCACCTGTTTGCCCCACGCTATGGTTTGGGATATCTGCTTTAAGAACATTTTACACACAGGTACTTAACAGTTATCTTCTTCCTACGCATTCGTGTAAGTATTTTCTATAAGTAGCAATTCTGCCAAACAGCTCAGTGTTTGGATGTCTTTGGGGGGAATTCAGACACAAGAACATTTTCCTTCTGGGCAAAGTAATAAAATGACATTCTTGCTCCTCCCACTAGAAGTCAAACGGAGGTCAGCTCCCCATCCTTGTATCTGTTTAAATAAACTGGTCCAGCTGTTTGTTTCCAGGATGCCCTTTAACCTTCTGTCCCATCCTCCCTGCCTTTGTAACACAACGCTTTACTTTGCATTATAGTAGACTCCAAACCACTGAGCATTTAAAAAAAAAAAAAAAAAAAAAAAAAAAAAAAAAAAAAAAAAAAAAAAAGAAAAGAAAAAAAGAAGAAAGTATTCACTTTCAAGTTTCTTCCTGCATCCCAAACCTAGAATTTGTAAGAACCTATCAGATTAAAACAATTAATGTAGCTTGCCTTGAGAGAGCACAATACAGGCTGTGATGTTTATAAATCACATTTGAGAACTTCTTGCAAGCAAAACTGCGAATTAGCTGTTGCTGCAGAAATATACAGGCATGTGGTTAATTTCTTCATACTCTCAGTTTTTTTCTTTGAGAGAAGGGCTGGGATCTTTTGATCACTCTTTGAAATTTTCAAAGTGCCAGGCTGATTTGAACATCAGCAAAAATGATGGAACAGAAAAGCTAACAGGAATAATCTCCCCTTTTCCCAAACGTTCACATTCACCTATCTTAAGAGAAAGAAACTCTAAATCACTCTAATATTTAAAACTTCAGAGAAACCAGGACCTAAAAAACGCATTTGCATACTAACTACTACTGAAATGGAAGATTATCAAAATACAATTTAGCATAAAACTTAAGACAGATGTATAGCCTTACTCATGTGAGTAAAGAGCTAATCAAGCTCAAAGGCTTGCATGAAGTATTTTTCCCCACATCAGTGCTCTGTGTTGTGGTATCTTTGCTCTGATGAGGAAGGGGCTTTTTTTTGGTTTGAGTTTTTTGCCTCAAAAGAGTTGGATCAATAGTGGCACAACAACATAATGTCCCTCAGTGTACAAGTTGCACTCAGCAAAGTGATGCCTTGGGCTACCTTTATTTTTTTTATTCCTCCTTTTGTTTGTTTTTTTTTTTCTGGAGTTTTTTCCTTTTGTTTGTTTTGTTTTGTTTTGTTTTGTAAGGGGAAGGATATGGCATGGAGAAAAAAAACGGAACAGTTGGGCAAACGCACAAGTTTGAAATATTTCCTAATTTTTTCAAGTTAGCTTTTCCTTGTTCATGGAACAAGGCAAAGAACACATGTTCAATCCCATGCGTTCTTTTCCTTGTTCATGGAACAAGCAAAGAACACATGTGCAATCCCATGCATTCTTTTCCTTGTTCATGGAACAAGCAAAGAACACATGTGCAATCCCATGCGTTCTTTTCCTTGTTCATGGAACAAGCAAAGAACACATGTGCAATCCCATGCGTTCTTTTCTTTGTTCATGGAACAAGCAAAGAACACATGTGCAATCCCATGCGTTCTTTGCAGACACATGGGATTGCACTTTCTGCCGTGTCCCAAAAAGCAAGAAAACCCCACCAATTCCACCTGCATCACCCTAAAGGGGAGGAGGAAGCCTTCTTTTCTCCCATTTGCATTTTGCTAGGATGTTTTCTCTTAGGTTCCTGGCCCGGGCTCCGTGTGCAGGGGTCACGGGCAGACTCCCTGGTTGGTGCATGGCTGGTCCCACGGGTGAGCTCCAGCCCCAGCCCCGGGGATGCAGCAATCTGCCTCTGCACTCTGACCTTCAGCTTGGCCGCCCTGGCTGCCACGCACAAGTTTTGTTTCTTCTCAGCAAGAGGCTGCATGGCTGGTGATGACAAAAGACTTATTTTAGTTGGAAATTGGCTACAATAATAGCAGCCAGAGAGCAAGGATTTTCAGAGGGTCACCAAAGCCTCCGAAAGGCACAGCTCGCCGAGGCTCAGGTTACAGCCCGAGTGACATTTTCCGCACAGATCTGTTCTTTCTCCCTTCCCCTTGTATTTCACTTCTGTTGAGTGAATAAAACAAGACCTTCCTCTGCTGTCACGAATTTCCAAAGTCACCTTTGCTCAAGAATCGACAGAGCGATTGTGGGGACTTCCAATTTGCTGTCTTTGAATGAAATTTTCCAGGACCAGCTGTCTGAAAGGAGATGCTGAGACTTCACGGTCTATTGAATTTTTCTCTGCCCCCAGCCCTCCGAAATGAGGAGAGTTTCACACCATTACTGACTTCTGCTACTTGGAGTCACAGGCTGCCCCCTCTCAATATTGTCCCAAAGCACTGCATGCCAGAAGTCTGTGTTTCAGACTAGCAGAGCCAAGAAATTCCCGAAAATCTCTCTGCCTCATTTTCTCCTTGAGCTCCTTCTAGCAAACCAGGCGTAAGAAGAATGAGAAAGCCCACGCTACCTACAAACCCCAGTGCTAAAATCTCTCATGCCCCTCTGAAGAAAAACAGTATCCCTCTGGACAACAAACAAATCATCATTTTTATAACAGATGCCAAAGTAAACGTAGCACTTCAAACTGGCAAAAAATTCACTTGTAAAACCAGT